CCCGGGACCCACATGCCCCGCCTTCTGAGTTTCCTGGGCCAGTTCCTCACCATCTCCTGACCCCTTGGTTGGGTGGCACAAATGGTTATGTGCTCCACTAGCTGAAAGGGTGACAGTTGAACCTCACCCAGAGGGACCTTGGAAGGCAGGCTGGGGAATCGCAGCCTTGAACCCTCCCGTGGAGCAGGCCGTGGGGGTGGGGGGTAGGGGGTGGCGCTCCCGCCCCCCCGTCAGAATGGACTTGAGGACAGGGCAGCAGCGCTGTCCCCTTGGGGAAGGGTGTCTCCTCCAGTCACTCCGTGCGCTCAGATGGACTTGAGGGCACAGGGCAGCAGCGCTGTCCCCTTGGGGAAGGGTGCCTCCTCCAGTCACTCCGTGCGCTCAGTGACCTCATTTGCTGACACCCTTGATCCTAACTGCCAGCAGGACATGTCCTTGAGCTCCTCGCAAAGCCACCTCCCGTCTCGACATCTCCACAAGGATGTGTGGACAGCACTGCAAACCGAACTCTCAGGAACGCCCCCCACCTCCTCGCCCCAGGCTACCCTCCCCTGCTCACCAAGTGGCCACTTCAGAACCCCTTGTGCTGTTTTCCTACCCCATCTAGAAGCTTCCAGAAGACTCTGCTGTGTATACCTGAGGGCTGCTGCCTGTTCTGAGCCACCCTCTCAGCTCCTGTCCAGCTCTTGGCAGTTATTGCCCACTGGCCTCCTCCCTTGTTCTTGGGCCTTGCTGTGTTTCCTCCCCACTGAAGCACAGAGGGGCTCTCTGCCTCCCTTCCCCGTCCTCCACCACCCCCATCCTTCTTCCCTCCCTCCCTCCCTCTCACACACGCTGACCTTTTCTTCGTTCTTTGAACTGTTAATACACTTGATGTTTGACAGCCCTGGGGAGACACTGCAGAGTTTCCATGCCCCCACACAGGCCCAAGTGTCCTCTACTGTAGCGTCTTACATTAGGAGGATGTATTTGTTCCAACCCAGGAGTCAATATGGATACAGTATCTTCTTCTTGTTGAAAAGGATTCACTCGCTGCTGCTGTTGCAGAGAATGGACACAGCAGAACACACACCAGCCCCACCACGTCTACCCTCAGAAGCCCTGCTGGCCCTGCAGGCTAGGGCACTGGGTTGCTACGGAAAGGCTGGCGGTTCAAATCCATCAGGAAGCTGAAGCTGTCTGCTTCTGCAGAGATCCATTTCTGACCGAAGCACTGGGTGCTGTCACCACCCGTCTGTCCGTGGAGTCTGTCAGTGTGCTGCTAGGGTGTTGGGCAGGTTTGAGGAGCGTGCAGATTCAGACAGACTAGGAATAAAGGCCTGGTGATCCACTTCTGAACATAACCACTGATAACCCGATGGACCACCTCTGATTGGCAACTGATGATGGGGCTGGCGCAGAACCGGCAGCATTTCACGCCATTGAGCATGGGCCAACTCGGTGGCAATGACTGACCAGATACACATTTCTTCAGATTTTAGCTTCCCTTCACCCCTGGGGCGGCATCCAGGGTATCTCCCTCCCTTCCCTCACCCGGTTTCTTTAGGCCCCTCTTGGCTGCGGCCGTTTCTCAGGCTGCCTGGTTCTTTGAAGGCCTTGCCAGTCCTGGTCAGGCATTTTGGAGGATACCTCATTCTTGGAAGTTGTCTGTTGTTCTTCCCTGCGGGGGACCAGCTTCCCCACAACCAAATGGGTCTAAGGGGCGGTGTGTAATGGAGGGGGTAAAGTAAGAGACATCTGACGAGATAAAGCATGCTAGGACTCAACTCTTAGTCATGACTTTAGGAGCCAGGTCCGAGCAGAGAGTAATGCAAGCTCACGAACTTATATAATCGTGGGCACGCCGGCCACGGTAAGCACATACATAAGGGGAAGGGGTTGTACAATAGGCATGCACGTAATAGGAGGGGGATGAGCTGGGGTGTACACGCAATAGGAAGGGGAGGCACTAGAGGCACACATGTGACAGGAAGGCACAAACGTAACAAGATGGGTGGACTTTAGAATCAAGATGGCAGCCTCCCCTTGGTGGTCATCCCTGAGTTGGCTTGACCTTAGAGGTCTTTGTGCTCTTCTCCAGAACAATCTGTGATCCTTAAGAAGGGAGGGGCCCTACTCACGGTGGGACAGACGATAGGATCTGATTGCTTTTGATGGCTGACGATGTTCAGGTATACAACCTTCAAGCAATTGACCTCTAAGTGTATAGTCAGTGACCATGTGCTTGCAAACAGCACTGAAAACTGGCTTCATGGGGGGACACCGTGGGGAATAACTTTTACTCAGGAGAATGTGAGTGGGACTCATCTCCATCCCATGAACGTGAAGGTTCCTCCATAGGAACCGTGGCCTCCCAGACTCCTTCACGTATGAATGTTGCGAGTTTGTGGGCATACGCTCTCTTCCGGGGTGTGTGCTATGGGTGTGGGTTGGGGAAGAGGACCACTGAGATGGTTGATGTGGGCTCTCATCACCTGAAGGGAGTGTTTGCTGGTTTCTTCACTATAACCTCTCTCTCTCTCCCTTCTTTCCATTGTGTCATTTAGGAGTCAAGCGCACAAACCACATGTAAGGAGCGGGGCGCCTAGGGGAGCGTTTTAAAAGCCTTTTATTGTGATGGGATGAAGGTTTGCGGGAAGATCCGCTGCCCATTGACCAGTTCCTCCGTATTTTGTTTCACCATTGACTGCCACACCCACAGTGGACCATCACTTCCTGTGACTCCTTTTCTTCCCTCACCTTCTGAGCTTGCTCTTTAGGGAGATGCTGTCCCTATCGCCACAAGTGGTTGAGATTCTAAGGGACGCACACTGCCCTCGCGTTACTGAGGCCCTGACAGACATGCTTAGTATTGGGCTGAAAACTGAGCCACGGGGGTGAGTCTATCTGCAGGTGGAATGACGAAGGACCATTGTCGTGGAGGGTCCACGAATCTATCCAAGCACCAAACCTCGGCATTTATTTTAGGATTAAATAGACCTTTCTGCCTATGATCTTCTCCCTGTATATAAGTAGGGCCTTCTGACACGTTCAGTTCATCCAGTAAGAAGAGTGAGCACCATTTCATTCCTCTGGTACCAGGATCATGAAGACCTGATGTTTGCATGGTCCATTAACCCACTTCGATGCTTATCTTCAATTCTTTTCATCTTTAAGACCCTGGTCACACCTCATCTAAGTAGGCTATAGAGTGTTATCTTTGTGGACAATGTTATGCCCTTTGACCTTGGAGACTAGGAGAGCCTTTTGAAACATCAAACATGCAAATCATGTCACTCCCACGTTCAAAGCCCCACTGCGGGGCTCCCCACCTCACCCAGCAAGCACAGTCTCAGGGTGCCCCATGCACCCAAGCCATCATCTGTCACTGTCCCGCCCCGGCTCCTCCCACTGGCCTTCTTGCCTGCTGTCTCCATTCCAAAGACCCCTTCCCAGTCCCTCCAGCCAAGGCCCTGCCTCCTGGCCACAGGGGCTTGTCCTCTGAGAGCTGTGTGCCCCTTCTTTTGCCTCCTGCATAGCCATGCCCTTCTCCATGAGTTCCTTCCTGACCCCTTTAAAGATGGCAACCCTGCCTGACCGGCCCTCCCGGGCTCCTTCCAGGCCCCACCTATGTCCAGAGCACCTCTCTTCCCTCTGACGTGGAGGTAATCAGCTCAGACTCACAATGCCCGTATGTATAAGAGAACAAACTGCCACCCACCCAGTCCTGTGCTATCCCCACGACCATCAGGTCTGTCTGTGTCCACTGTCGCAGCTCTTGTGTCAATCCGTCCATGGAGGCCTTCCCTCAGTTCAGCCGGCCCTCTTTCATCGATCATGTTTCTCCCCTAACCCGGGATCTTTCCTGATGCTGTGTCCAAAGCAAGTGAGTGGGAGACTCACCACGGTGGCTTCTAAGAGAAATTCTGGTGACCATTCTTCTACGATGGCTGGCTGGCTGGCTGTGTGGCTGGACCATGAAAAGGGAAGCCAAGGGCAGGGAGGTGTTGGAGCTTTGGTGAACCAGACCTTGGACTACCACCTGCGACCATCTGCTGCCTTTGGTAACTGTCAGTCTGTCTACCACAACGCCACCTTTTGGTTCACCATCCGGCTTCTCCCTCGTTGCTTCCAGTTGTGTGATTCTGGAGGTGGCTCGGGGTGTGTGCCTCCTGGCCCCCCATCTGTAGGTGGTAATGACTACAACCTGGGGGAGGGTGTGTGAGGCTTGGGGAAGATGTGACGTGCCCAGAAAGGCAATTCTCAGGGTTGGCTCTGTCAGCCCCCCTGCAGGTCCCTCCTGGGCATCCAGCCAGGCCCAGAGCACCGATGGGGATGCCCCTTTGCCCCAGGCTCTCAGGTCTACAAGATCACTGCTGAGAGGGTCGCCCCACAGGCTGGGACCCTGCTCCCCAGGACAGAACACGGTACCAAGAGGTAAACGGACAGCTCTGGCTTTCCCCTGCACCCCCCTCCCCACAACCCCTCAGGATCATGTGTTGTTTTTTTCTGGTCACGGGGCCCCAAGTGATCCTTGCCTTCCCTCCCTAGGCCCCCAGCTGTGGAGGGTGACACTGGCTCCCCTGGCCCCTGGCCCTGTTGCAGTGCAGCCTGTGCCATCTGTTATGTGTGTCCTGGCCGGGTGGCCCCAGGGGGGCTGCATCCTAGTGGGCCAGCCTTCCAGGGACAAGAAACCCATCCCTAGAGAGACTGTGGGGTGGACTCTGGGCTTGAAAGCCCCCTTGGGTGAGTCCCTGACTCCTCTGAGCCTTGTGCTGCTCTTGGGGAAAGTGGGTTGAGCTGGGCAGAGGAGCGTGGCAGATGGTAAGCAGGCCTCGGCTTGGACAGCAGCTGGCATGGAAGGGCGGGACCCCCATGAACAGAGTAGGGCGTGGGGGCCTCATGGGCCTGGTGCTGCCCAGCTTCCCTCCCAGAACTTCCCTGCCCTGCTGGGCCCCATGCCACCCTGTCCCACCCCCCTCAGGGTCCACAAGTTCCTGTCAGGGACACAGGGGCCACTCTGGCGGGGATAGCACCGTTTATTTAAGAAAAACAAGACGAAGACCACAGGAGGGTCCTGTCTAGGACACGGGGGGCAGGTGCCCCGACCCATGGGCTGGGGCTGCTGGTGGGAGGGCGCTTGCCCCTAGCAGGGCCCTCAGGCTCCCACAGATTGGACCTGGCTGTCATCTCCCCATCAGCCTCCCCCACCCAAGGCCCAAACACCTGACCACCAACACCCTCTCCCACTGTCCCCTGGGCCTTCACTTCCAGATGGGTGGTGGGACATGGCCTGGTATGAGTGGGGAGACCCCCCCCCTCAGTGCTGGGCTGGGAGCAGCTCCTGGTAGGAGTGGGGTGGGCTTTCCCTTGAGGCTTGAGGAGGGTCCCTGGGCTGTATGTTGGGGGGCCAGGCGGGGGCTGTTTGGGAGGAGGTAGAGGGGCAGGGGCGTGGCTGAGGCGGGTAGAGAGCTGCTGTCCGAAGTCAGCCCCCTTTTGTCCCTTGGCTGGCATCAGAGGCTTTCACAGCCTAGGGGAGGGTAGTGAAGGCTACAGCTGCACTCTGCAGGAGGCTGTGAGCCAGGCTGGGGGCCGAGGCCAGAGCATCTGAAGGCTTTCATAGGGATGGAGGCTGACCAAGCATTATATAGATAGGAGTCCAGCTCGGCCTCGGGTGGTGGTGGGGGTGGGGGTGTTCCACCTGGGGGCAGCAGGGACGGTCTGGGTCCACCCCATCACCGTGCCTGGCCCCCGTTCCGGGAGGCCTCCTGAGACTCGGTCACATCCAACCTGTGTTGCCTACCTGCCTGTGGCTTTGCCTGGGCGTGTGCATGCGTGTGTGTGGGGTGGGGGTGGGGGGTGGGGGAGGATACGGCAGGGCCACCCTCCAGTCCAGCCCAGGGCAGTAGCAGCAAAGCATGACGTGGCCTCAGCTTCTTACAAAAAGTCATCATCATAAGAGAATAACATCCTGACCGCGCAGGCAGGGGCGCTGCCTGGGCATCTGTGAGACCTGCCGGCACCTATGAGGGGCAGGGGCGCATGTTGGCCCCGGTCTGGGCGCTGTGCTGCAGGTCCAGGGGCTGTGGGGGCGGGGCGCCAGGCCTGGCCGAGTGCAGCACCAGGTTCTTGATGCAGCCCGTGATGCCTGCGGAGAATCTGCCCCCGGTCAGTGTGGCCACGTCGGGGGCCCCGCCTGTGGGAAGAGAATGGGGGTCTGTTCACTGCTGGTCTGGGGGTCAGTGGGGGAGGGAGGCCGCATCTGCTCCAGGGCTGATGGAGGAGGCCCAGCCCCTCCAGGGACCCAGTGGCCCGAGGCCGGGACGTACCGATGTAGATGTTGCTCTTGGTGTTGACCGCCACATTCGAGCCTGGTGACTGGCCGCTGACCAGCTCCTCGCCGTCCACCTGGATGGAGCCTCTCCGGCCCTCTCTGCAGAGAGGATGGGTCAGGCTCCTGTGCGCACCCCCCATCTGAGCTCCCCACATGGAAGCTGCCCTTTGCCCGGGACCGCAGGCTGAGCCACCCGCCCGACCACCCAGTGCTTTCACTGGGCCCTGTGCCCTTGCTGCTGCTCGCTGGCCCCTACCAGGCCTGTCCCACCCGCGAAGCCTGCGCCTGCCTGGTGTCTCCTCCCTCTGCCCCAGCTTCTGGTTCTGCCCACACAGAGCTCGGTGCTCACAATGAGGGCATCCCATGCCACCCTGGGATGCTGGGCCATTCCCTAGTGCCCAGCTGGGTGACCTTACCGCAGTGCTGTCACCCGGTGCCACTCGCCGTCATTGATGGGGTCCTCAGAGATGAGGCGGGCCTCCCCACTGCCCAGCTGGTAGCTGCAGGTCACATGATTACAAGGTGGTGTGACTCAGGTGTGTGTT